TCTGTGTGTCTAAATAAATAATTAAATCTTAAAAAAAAAAATAGTGACCTAAAAGGAGCTTACATAATATAATTTCCCTTTTCTGGAAAGCTGTTCCTTTCTCTAGAACAGAGATTGTAAAGAATCCCTCGTAGAGGAACACCTGACAGTTTGTGAAATGCTAGTTTGGGAATCCTGCCTCCTCAGGAGGGGTTGAGAATCCACACTGCTTACAGGCTCCCTTGAACTTTTCATGTCACAGACGTTTTTGTCTGAAAGGATACTAAAGGATGCTCTCTAGGTCCGCCACCCACTGCTGGGAACCTCTCCTCCCAGCACCTATTGCCTCTCCTTTAGAAGTAAAAGGGCTGGAAAACATGTCCAGGAAATGGGCTGTTCTGAAGTTTTCCACGAATGGCTGCCTCCAAATTCTATGCACATCTTAGGAATTCTAGGCTTGTCTTTCCAAGCTTGATTCCCTAAATTTGCCAGTTGACCTGTTGCACGGTGTGGTTCCCCTGGCCTTCTCCTTATGTCCTGCAACCAGTTTTGAGAAGCAGCTGATGACTGTTTCAATTTCATTTGAAGTTTCTTATAAAAGGAGCCAATCTGGGAGGTCACTTGTCTTTGATCCAGGAACAGTGGTTTGGTTATTTTGGCTTATAATGAATTTGGAAGGGAATTGAAGCATCAGGTAAAAACAATCTGTACCTACACAGCATGACAAAGAACAATCCCAGCCCTACACACCAGTGTGGATAGATTGCAGAGAAATAAAGTTAAGCACAAGTGGTCTCCATTTGCCTGAAGTTAAAAGACAGTCAACAATGACTTATATTGAGAAAGGTGGGAAGAAGGGTTCTCTTCCAAGGATTATCACTTAGTGGGGGTGTGGGACAGAGATCTTGGGGGTGGGGGAGGCAGAATTACCCTAAACTGTGATCTGGACCTCATTTAGGTTGTATACACACTTATAAAGTCTTTGAGGTAAACAATTAAGCTTTTTGAATTTTACTAAATGCATATTATTTTATGCTGCAGTAATTTTTTTTTTCAAGAAGATGACTGTGACAATGATTCCCTAGAGAAAAAATAACCTACAATCCTATCCATGTCATAAGTCAAAATTGCCAAACAAATGTAGCCTCAGATAAAAACAAAATAAAAAGTTGGAAACGATTATAGAATAAGCTATTCTTAGCTCCAGTGGTAAATTGGACATTTAAAACAGTGTGAACCCCACCCTGTGCTCTCAGCTGTTTCATGATTTGGAGTGGGGACCCGAAGACACACAGGAGAGATTATCGCACGTTCTTCAAAATGCGGATGCTCAGGCAGCATCTAAAGGAGCAGCCTCACTGCTTTTTTACAAAGGCAGCAGATAAGAACAGGAAATAAGTTGCCAGTCTTTCTTGGGTGAAGTCCAGTTTTGCCCAAATCTTAATGACCTTGTATATGCAGGTGACATCTCTGGGGGCAAGGGAAGCAGGTCAAAGGTCAGTGATATTGTTTACTGAGTTCAGACAGTAACAAGAGGCCTGGCTGTTTCAGTTCTGGGCTACATGGGAGGACGGTTCCAAGGAACAGTCCATGAAAGAGGGATTCCTTTATTCCCACATCCACCAAAGGTCCTTTATTGACTTTACATTAGTCATATGTTTAATGTGTTAATCATCTGGTTTTCTTCCCTCCCTCTGCATGGACCCTGCCTCCCAAGCCATGGAGTAGCTGTGGTGAGGAATGTCTCCTCACAAGGCAAGTGGCTTCTCTGACTTCTCTCTTTTCCTCTCCTCCTCCCCAGTGGTAGTTTGTCTGACATGCTGGCATTGATTGGTGTTATGGAGACACAACCTGGCTTTGTTGTGGCAACTGCTCTGTCAGGTGTGGGTGCTGTGGGCGAGGGGAGTCCCGGAAATAACAGAGAAGACACTGATTGTCTGGGCACAGATAAGGTTCCACTCACAGGCTGATGTAAGAGCTGGCCTGGGCTGGGAATCTGTGAATGTGGACATAGACTTTTTATTCATTGTTATAAAGGTAGTGCTTTGAGAAAGATGATGAATCACATTCAGACCTCCACATGCAAAGCGAAGGCTTTGCAAGGAACTGAACGTTCACAGGAGGCAAAAACAAAGAACATGGATTGTGACCCCTGGAGCCCACTCCAGGGTGAGGACATGCTGGGTAAACACACCTCTTATTCCTGAAACAGTGACTGTCCCAGCACAACTTAAGGTGATGCTTTTCTTTCCAAGCACGCTCATTCTCAGACTAACATATCAGGGCCTGGAATAGTTTCTCCCTCAGGTTGCCTGCACAACATGTGAGATCCAATGCAAATGAATAAGACATAAAAGCAAAAGCTACCTCGGGATTGGTGATGATCCCAATGGTGAAAGATAAATAGCACATTAGTTACTTCAGCTCCTGCTTCTTCCAAGATTTGGTTTTATGAGAAGCTTCTGAAGGCTGGGAGCAGGCAAGCTAAGCCTAAGAACTGTTGTCCCAGGAAAAGGAGCCTGCAGGGGAGGGTGTGATTGTGTGTGGGGTGAGGGAGGTGCCGCTCTCCATTTTGGATTCCCAGAGCCTGCTCCCCCGACTCCTGCTCCAGGCTTGCCTGCTGAGGGAGACTAGGAGGACTTCATGACCAGAGTAGGAAGTATCCCTCTTATCCCAGAAGAGAAGCCTTCAGTGTGAGGAGTGAGGAAGGAACCACCAGGAGGAAGGTGGCATGGGGCTGGGATCACTGGCCGCCATTTTTCTTCCCTGGGTGGTAGGCTTCTTGGGGGAGAGGGTCTTTGTCTCTGCTTCTCTGAAAGCTGTTAAAATGAATATTAACTACAAAATCATTTCTGTGTACCACAGGAGTGGCCTCTATCTCCCTCTCTCCCTTACTCTATCTCTTCCTTTCTCACTTTTAGTTTTCTTATTTATGCTAGAAAAAGGAATTTCAGTGCCTTTCCTGAATGAAAGAATATCTCAGTATCCTGAAATTTCATTTCCAAGTCTGTCTCCGAATGCTTGGTGAAAGTAACCTGACCAGAGAATTTGCCACACACACTCCTGAACCTCCTTATATATATTTTTACACCCCCCTCAGTACCTGGTAACCACAGTAAAAGGATAACCACACAGGCTTTGTAAAAAAGTGATCTGGGTGTCTGGGAAGAAAAGCCAAGGACATACGTAAACAAGTGGTATTCCCAGGAAGCAGTCTGGGTGGGTGAAATGGCCCTCTGGAAAAGAGGTCAATTAGAAAGCCTTTGTCCTTAGCCCTGACCCTTTCCTCCCAGAAGCCACTCACAGGTGGGAGCACTCTTAGCACTGTGGGTTCTCCTAGAGATAGAAATGGAGAAACATGGAAGGAAGCCCCTTTCTTGCTTCCCTTTTCACCCCCCTAGATTTCTGCAGCTTGATTCCCTGATAGAATCTGATTCCATGGAGACAGTCACCCATATTAACACCTAGTTTCCAGGTGATTCTTTTTTGAACAGTTCCTTTTGTCTTCAGCCACCACAAAGACATCTCTTTCTCAGGGCTGTATCCACCCTCCCGGTGGCAGCCCTGGGGAGATGCCCTGAGGAAGCCCTCAGAGGGAGGTTAGGTGTGTTTTAGAGTACTAGGTACCCTTTTTCAATGGGAACCTTCTGCAGGACTGTGGGTCCCGCGGGGGGGGGGGGTGCCTCTAAAGCAGTCCAAGCCTTCAGTAGGTGAGGACAGGAGTAGGAGACAAGAGGAACTGAGGTGAGGGTGGAGAAGTAGGGTTTGGACCTAAGGGTGAGGCAGGTCTATGCTCCTTGCAGAAAGCCCATTGGTCAGGGACCCCCAAGCAGCTACCCTGGGAAGTGCCAGCTGCCTCCCTTCTCATCCCAGCTGGGGTACCTGGGATGAAGTGGGAGCCCACCTGAGAGGAGGAAGCCAGAACACTCCCAGTGAGCTCCGAGAGTCTCCGGAGAGTCCACTTATAGGTTAGGAGCCTGGCACACAACACAGGGGGATCCCCTCAAGGCCCGGGAAACCCAGGAGGCCCGCGGAAGGCAGGCTAGGCCAGTAGCTGGGTGCGCACTGTCAAGTGCAATTGCGGCGCCGCCCTCTCTCCTCAGAGGTTGAGGGGAGAGGGAGGCTGGAGGGACGCTGGGTTTCCCCGAAAGTTTCCGGCGAATTCTTGTTCCTGGAGATTCGCCTCAGCTGCGTGTGTTTCCCGAGAGGGGGCCTCCTGCGCCGCCGCCCCCCTTCCCCTGGCACGGAACGATTGCGCACGGGGCTCCTTCCCCAGCTCAGTCTCCTCCCCACGCGCCCCCTCTCCGCCGCGCTGGCCAGCGCCGGCACTGCCCCCCGCCCGTGCCCGAGCC